GTGCACCACTTGGAATAGGATCAAGATTGAGTCAGGGTTACATACTGTCTATGGAATATTCCTTAATGACTGTCTGTCAGTTTTCAGATAAAGGTGAAAGGTTAAGAAAGAGAGCAAAATGTAGGGCAAGTGTGAAAAACCTGCCTTATTATCACATTGCACCTTTTCTACTTGGGTCATGGATTGTGCCTTTATTTAGTATTTTAGTATGAAATATTAATTCTTTTTTTTTTAATGATAGGGCTGAAAATAATAGTATAAATTAGAGAAGCTGTGTCAACTGCCCCAAAGACCCAGATTCTCTGGGGGTCCTGAAGGCCCCGGGTTTACTGTGCACCAATTAATTTGTGTGTGTGAAATTAATTAAAGGCCTTACCTTAAGGCAGGTCCTGTATTTTTAGCCACACTAGCGGCGTGGCTACAGGGATGGCAATGCCGGTCTTTTGGTCGGTCCACCACTTTGGTACAGACTGAAATATCTCTGCAACTACTGGATGGATTTTCATTAAACTGGGTACACACATTCCCTAATAATAATGGTGATCTCCTGACATTTCCTCTAGCACCACTAGCAAGTTTGCAATCATCCTCTGAAATATGGATGGATTGCAATTACATTTGAATTAAGTTTGTGGAAGGCTGAGCTGTATTCAGTAGTTGTAATCTGCAACTTCACCTCTGTATGCCACTGAATCCTTTAAATACATACATTTATGTGAAAACCAGAAATATTTGGATGTCTTGTGGATTTTATATACATTTATATACAATAAAACATTTCCATATAAATCCTAAAATACATCTGTGAATCTTTCTGTGTGTATTCATCAATATTGTGACTGACTTGACTTCTTAATAGGCGGCCACACCTGACTGATAGGGACCTTTCCAGTAGTTTTCCACAACTGGGGTGAGAGGACAATGTTCAGTCTAGTCCACTTACAGCTAACTAAATGTGAACTGCTTAACCCTGAGTTTTCTTCCACTCGTCTCTGTACTTGCATTTCATACATTCTCTCCCTTGCACTGGTTTCTCACAGTGCTGCAAAAAAAAAAAAAAAAAAATTTAAGCCTGGAGATATATTTCAAGAAAGAGAATACGTGCAAGATATATAAATATACGAGTTAATTTGACCAAGCCAAAACAAGATGAAGGCTGCACAATTAGAGACAATGTGTCACTCTGCAACTGAACATAGACATTTATTGCTCATGCAAATGCTAATTTTACTTTATTTTGTTCTAATTCTTCTTCTTTGTTCTAACAGTGTGCTGTACTCGTTTCCCCTTTAAATATCCAGGAACAATGTGAGGCTTACCAGCAGAGAAAGCAAAATGCTGTCTCACAGGTAGCAGGTCACTACATATCTTAGAAAGCAATTTCTGGATAATATTTAACATCTACTCTGTTGTTGCTCCTAATGTGAATGTCAATAAAAGAAATATATGGTCCTTAGAATGATTGTCTTTCAGTTTTCAGATAAAGGTGAAAGGTTAAGAAAGAGAGCAAAATGTAGGGCAAGTGTGAAAAACCTGCCTTATTATCACATTGCACCTTTTCTACTTGAGTCATGGATTGTGCCTTTATTTAGTATTTTAGTATGAAATATTAATTCTTTTTTTTTTAATGATAGGGCTGAAATTAATAGTATAAATTAGAGAAGCTGTGTCAACTGCCCCAAAGACCCAGATTCTCTGGGGTCCTGAAGGCCCCGGGTTTACTGTGCACCAATTAATTTGTGTGTGTGAAATTAATTAAAGGCCTTACCTTAAGGCAGGTCCTGTATTTTTAGCCACACTAGCGGCGTGGCTACAGGGATGGCAATGCCGGTCTTTTGGTCGGTCCACCACTTTGGTACAGACTGAAATATCTCTGCAACTACTGGATGGATTTTCATTAAACTGGGTACACACATTCCCTAATAATAATGGTGATCTCCTGACATTTCCTCTAGCACCACTAGCAAGTTTGCAATCATCCTCTGAAATATGATGGATTGCAATTACATTTGAATTAAGTTCGTGGAAGGCTGAGCTGTATTCAGTAGTTGTAATCTGCAACTTCACCTCTGTATGCCACTGAATCCTTTAAATACATACATTTATGTGAAAACCAGAAATATTTGGATGTCTTGTGGATTTTATATACATTTATATACAATAAAACATTTCCATATAAATCCTAAAATACATCTGTGAATCTTTCTGTGTGTATTCATCAATATTGTGACTGACTTGACTTCTTAATAGGCGGCCACACCTGACTGATAGGGACCTTTCCAGTAGTTTTCCACAACTGGGGTGAGAGGACAGTGTTCAGTCTAGTCCACTTACAGCTAACTAAATGTGAACTGCTTAACCCTGAGTTTTCTTCCACTCCTCTCTGTACTTGCATTTCATACATTCTCTCCCTTGCACTGGTTTCTCACAGTGCTGCAAAAAAAAAAAAAAAAAATTTAAGCCTGGAGATATATTTCAAGAAAGAGAATACGTGCAAGATATATAAATATACGAGTTAATTTGACCAAGCCAAAACAAGATGAAGGCTGCACAATTAGAGACAATGTGTCACTCTGCAACTGAACATAGACATTTATTGCTCATGCAAATGCTAATTTTACTTTATTTTGTTCTAATTCTTCTTCTTTGTTCTAACAGTGTGCTGTACTCGTTTCCCCTTTAAATATCCAGGAACAATGTGAGGCTTACCAGCAGAGAAAGCAAAACGCTGTCTCACAGGTGGCAGGTCACTACATTTCTTAGAAAGAAATTTCTGGATAATATTTAACATCTACTCTGTTGTTGCACCTAATGTGAATGTCAATAAAAGAAATATATGGTCCTTTGAAGATAACCTGTCTGAAGGGTCATGTAGATATTTATCTAAAGTCAGTCTTAATTCTGCATATTCCTTCAAAGTTATTGCCAGTAACTACTACAGTAACTGGTGGTACAGGATCACTGAGGTATTTTTCAGGTCATTTAAAATTCTGTTTAACTGTTTGCTAACAACTTGTGAATGTTAAATATTTACACTGCTCTGGACTCTCCACTGACTCCTGTATATGGTTTTTTAGCTGCTAAATGCTCCACTGTGTTCACCAGCTAGTCACTAACTTTGTCTGTCAGCTGCTGCTGAGCATGTCAGTGAGTCTATCAGTGCATTGATGAGAGCTGTGAGACTGAATCAAATGTATTTCTACACTAATACAAATTTAAGTTGACAAAAGAAGTTGAATGTTAAGTTTACCTAAAGAAAATACATTCTAAAGTTTACTGAAAAGTTGAAAAGTTGAATTAGAAACTGTAGGAGTAGTAAGAGCATTCAATGCAAGCTTTCAGAACAGAGTTCAGAGTTTTTAGTGTTCGTTGCTGGCACCCAGCCTTAGGTAGAAAAGTCCAAACATGTCATCTTTGACAGATATCTGCAGTCTTCATCAGCAAACACACCTGTGGTTTGAAAGACATGTTCCTTCTGGTAGAGTCCTGTGTGGGACTCTTTTCTTGCCTCTACTGCTGAATATCTGACCATTAGCCTACCATCTGCTCTCACTATGTGTGTGTTCACTCCTGTAAACATTCTGACCATTCATGCCCTTACAGTCGAGATGTTGTGTCTTCTCCTGTCCCGCATGTTAGTTTATTGTCAGTAACAACTAAGATATTTCTCCAAATATCAGACTTGGACCTGCAGTTAAATTTTTTCTGCCAGCTCCTGTCCACAGCAAAATCAAAACTCCCTGCTGCTGAGAGATTTCCGTTGGGTCCCATGGGATCCCAATCCCAATGCAGTCCTCTACCCTCCACCTCTGGCACAAGGACAGGTTGATCCAAAGAATATAGAGTGCATTTGTGAGCCTGGCTGCCGTGCCTGGCTTCCTCTTCTGTGCCATCCTTAGGCTGGGGGACAGAGGAAATGGCCGGGCAAGGTATCAGCTAAATACAAATATAGCCTCCTGGAGGATTAACTTTTGTAAGCTAAAAACATTCTTGACTAAGCAGCTTTTACTAAAAATTGTGCAAAGAGTGACACTGACCTAATTTTGTAATCTTTATTATTACTCATAAAAAGTACTTAATCAGAATAATTCTTCTGTAAGTTAAAAAATGAAGCTCTTAAAAGGAACTTTTTCGATTGCCATCGCCGAATGCTAGCTCATGGTGGGAACTGTTGGGTCTCTGTAAATCATTTTATAGTACGGTCTAGACCTGCTTTATTTGAAAACTGTGATAACTTTTGTTATCAATTGGCGCTGTACAAATAAAACTGAATTAAATTGAATAGAACTTTACGCAAATGAAATCCACCCAGTGCAACACAGCAGGCTCACGAAACTCAGATCAAACTGTAAAACTAGGCAATGCTAATCAAATATCTATCAAAATTCTATTACTGCATTGTCTATTTCTCGCTTCAGATGTTTTCAGAAACATATTTTAGTGTACTGTTCACCCATAATATGTAAAGGTTTCTCAGCCAGCCGCCATGTTGAAAGAACAGCATGTACCAAGCAGAACTAGCCTCTAGCTGCCACCTACGTAGTTCCAGTAACAAGATAACATTACCATAATACATTTTCATTTATATTGTAATAATCCCCAACACAGCCGACATACTAAATAACATGGGGCATAGGAACAATAATAGTATCAGTACTACAATATGTTGGGAAAGATCTCATTGTCTGACACTCTGTTTAGTCTCGCCCATCCATCTTTCTTATGACTTTTAATAGCTTATTAGGGTCACAGATTAACACAAACTTTTAATTTGGTGCCCAAGTATTGATCAAGTTTGATTTCTGTCTAACTGAGTCTACAAGGTCTCAGGTGACTCAGACTGCTGAGTTCTGGTAAAATGTCCCAACTCAGTAATCAATTGCAGATTGTGATTTTCAGATTGACACAGTCACAGAACACTGCAGGTGCATACTGATGAATAAGTTTTCTTTTTGGAGTTTGAACAAAATGTATGGACACTCAACTGAGACCAGAGTCAGTAGATTTGCTTTGTTTTATTTGAGATTCTTATAAACATTTTTTTATAAAAAATAAGCAGGAAAATCAGGTAACACACAGTAGCATGATTAATCACTGCATGCTTGACATGTGATTCATGATTGCAACATGGTAAGAAATAAACCTGAAAGAAATCCCAAACCAGTCCCACAAATACATACATATAAGGTATATCTAAAATAATCAGTATTATTGCTTTGCCACTTGTAAACATCACTGTGACAGAGACATATTTATCTCTCAAGATATGATCTAACTAAAAAGCATTTTAAATGATAGCATCTCCTTTACAACAGATACACTTTATGTCAACCTTTTCTTGTATGGAAGAAGACGTATTACATCATGTTTTTAAAGTAGATTTGGACATTTCGATTGATTTGTACTTCTACTTTGAGAATAGCAAGAGAGGAAACTCTAAGGATATGGTGTGAATCAGTATGAGGATCAGCATAACCAGCAGAGCCTTGAGGTCAGTTGTCCCAAAAATCAGCTAATCCACCAGAAGAGGAAAACGTGTTTGATGTTGGTGGTCAGATTCCCTGATTGTCCACAAGTCCGTCAATGACAAAGGAATAAAGTGTTTTTCACTGACACTGACATTTCATCACAGGTCTTTTCCCAGATTGTGTATCTCGTCTAGGACAAAGTCCATGTCGAGTCTGCTGGCCTGTGGGCTGATGACGATCATCCTGAAGAAGTTGGCCTTGTCTCTGTGCGGCTGGTAGCCCACCATCATGCTTCCCTTCTTCATCATGCGTTCTTTCACCACCGGGGCGACCTACAGGAGGAGGGACAATACGCTGCAATGACTGACTGCAATGTGAACAAACAAAAGAGAGGATTTGTTCACCTCCTTGTGTCGGCATGTTAAAATATAATGAAGTACGTACAGTGTGGAGTTTTTTCCATAGCTCAGGGCCATCTGGAAGGTTCCTCAGACTTGGTGGACTGTACCAGAAGCAAACATTTGCATATTCAGGCTGTAGACATAAGGGGACAAAAGTTCAAAGCAGGACTCCATATAAAAACAGATTATATAAATATATATAATTAATACGCAAAATTTGCAAAATAACTATTTTTTGTGTAAAACTGTGGATAAACGTACCTCCATCACCAAACGGAACCCTTCTCTTCTCTTGATCTCTTCTGCAAGATACCTGCAAAAAAAGCACATTTCAGTTTATATGCTGCTTTGCCAAGTGTTAGTGCAAATTTTTAAACACATTTAAACATAATTATAAACATTCTCAGAACTGTGGTTATTTATAAAGTCACCACTAGAGTGCACTGTCCACAATGTGACGTCTCTGAATCTGCCCCAGGAAGTCATTTGATGTCCAACATCAACTTATATTTCAGTCAGCGCGTTATATTAGCACGTTGTTAATGCTTGCTGTGAAATGAGTGCATATTCAACCTCTTCCTTAGTCAGCATGCATATTGATAATAAATGTAGAGTTACTGGGGGTAGCCTGATAGCTCACCTGAGCCCTCTCCCCATGTACCAAGGCTGAGGCCCTGCTGCAGCGGGCATGGGTTCAAATCAGACATGTGGCCCACTTCCCTGTCCATCTTCAGCTATGTTATTGTAAAGGACTACTGCATATTTAACTTGTTTCTCAAACTGGGGGGCTGGCCCCCCTGGGAGGCACACAGCCACTGCATGAGGGCATGGATGACCAGGGGACAATATTAAGAGAAACAAAGTCGATTGAATACTATTTAGGAAGGAAAAGTTTGCTGATGCTATTTCACTAGAATTCAACTTGTATCCCTTTTTATTAGCTAAAGCTACATTTTAAGTGGCAGAAACATTGTTTTATAAGTTACAGAAACATTCCTCATTAATAACTTTTTACTAGGTATTTTGTTCTCACACTACAAAAATACATTACAAAACGAAGTCAGTGTCACTTAACATTTCTAAAGCTACCTTATAAAGAATGTTTTTTTAATTAGCAAAATGTAGTTCTTTTTTTTTTTTTTTTAATTAATGTAATCAGTTTCAACAATTGTTTGAGATAAATAAACGTATCTGGTTATACGGTGAAGTTTAACAGTGTCGTGGACATCAGGCCTTCCTGTCACTGAGTGTTAGCTGCGGCCCTGCTACGTGTCCGTCTCCTCAGACTGACCTGGCCGTGGCGAGGGCTCTGTCTACCCTCTCCTCTAGCTCTCCGGTTCCCAGAGCCTTCCACATGAGCCAGAACTTGAAGGCGTCCGGCTTCCTGCTGCACTGGACGGACTTGTCCCCTGTGTCGTAGCTGACGTCATAGAACTTATCCTGCTGGAAGAGGTAGGAGGCGGAAGAAGAGTGGCAGCGCTGGAGGAGATTCTGAGGAGGCACAATGACATGGATTGTTAGCTTAGCATGGGAACTGCGAGCCTGGCTGTGTCTCTAACAAGACATGATGTGTTCATTAGTAATCTACCTGGCAGGTAAATTTTATTACCATTGGACAGAGTAGCTGTTTCCAGTCTTAAGACTAAGCTAAGATAACTGTCTCCTGAGAATGGTTTTGATCTTCTCATCTTGGCGAGAAAGCAAATACTCATCTTTCCAAAATTTCAAACTATTGCATTAAAGGCAGCAGATTTTTTGCTGTTTCGTCCAGAGTATGTCAGCCGCACATCTGTCTGCTGTCCTTCAGATTTGACGCTACCTGCCTCTGACAGATCTGTCTCCAGCTCTCTGACAGGCCAAACTGCTCAGTCAGCTCGCCTTCAGCCTGGTAATGAGAGACTACAAGATGGCACTACACTGAAGTGAACTGTGCCTGCTAGGCCTGCCCAAGGCACAGAATCATCAGGGTTATCCGTCCTCCATCTGGCAGAAGAGCGAACACACATACTTCTCTTTGTTACTGCTTAATGATATGCTGCTTATATTCACACGTACAAGTTAGACTGGGTAGACTGGAGTTTCATTTCCTTCACTTGGTGGTTCAGAGACAATTTATGGGAAAGGAATAACCATATTTTTGTGCCGTAATGCATGGGGGGGGCTTGCATATTGCTGCCAAGCCAGAACAAGAGAAACTCATCAATATTACGTAATAACATAAAAGGTTTATTGTTATAAAAAGATACTTTTGTGTTATTATGACATACAAACTTCATCACATCATCAAAAAAGTTGCTTGTTACACCGTTCTAACATTAAACGTTATAAAAAATCCCTATATAGCGAAAAAACAATACACATAACAAGAAACGTGTCATGTTAGAACTATAATATTTATCTTGTTAGAACCTGAAACTTTTCTTGTTACAACAACATACAACATAACAACATACTATTCATTTTGTTATAACGTATACTTATAATGTAATTTTTTGCCTTGTTGTCCGTCATTCAGGCTTCAATGGAAGTGAATGGGAAACTGACAGGATAGCTTTAGTCTTGTTTCTGGTTCTCTAACTCTCTTTCTCCATCAATTATGCATGCAATTAGACAACTGAAAATGTCTACATATGCCTGCTGGTCTACATGCCTTTCTGTTTTCTGACAATGAATCAAATTGAACAATCCTGAAAGGTTAACTCTGCAAAGGTGCAGCCTCGTTTTGGTGCTCTATAGAGCCAAAAAATAATTACTAAGTTTGTGTGGAGCAGATTAGCTATCAGATGATGAGTGAGCTTGTTTTACCGTTTTGTCTCTGACCAGGAAAGCAGAGCACTGCAGACACGCCATCAGCATCTTGTGAGGGTTCCAGGCCACAGAGTTGGCTCTTATCATCACACACAAGCAACACAGCAGAGAGAGAATTTACAGTCAGCATGTTATCACTCAAGTCATCTGAACACTAGCTGATGACAGGGCTTTAAGAATGGAAGGAACAATGTCTCTTTATCATTACAGGCACAGTCACTCCGCTATGAAATGTTCTCTGGCAGGAATGCTGCTTTGATTTGATCAAACTTTTACCTGTGGATGCCCTTTAACAAGTGTTGATGCTTGTTAGACATCAGAGCTGCTCCTCCCCAGCAGGCCTGAGGAACAGGAGAGAGAAATTAGGCAATTACACTGAAAGCGGGATGAGATTGATAGAGGCAAATGAATGAATGAATGATTGAATGAATGCACTCACGTCCACATGCAGCCACAGGTTGTACTTCTCACAGATGTCTGCAATCTCCTGGATGGGATCAAAGGCTCCGAGCACTGTGGTCCCTGCTGTGGCGTTCACCATGAAGGGCACTGCACCCTGAACACACACACATAAAGAGTTTCTCTTAATGGTGTTGCAAACGTCAAAATACACGCAACAAGGTCTCTGCTCAAATGAAGCCCTGAAAAGGAAAGATCTCACCTCACCTCACTTTTAGCTGTCTTAATCAGCAACTCCAAAGCCGAGGGAATCATCTTCCCTCTGAAAAACACACACAATAATTCACTTTGTGATAAAAGAACAAACTAATGAGCAGATTGTAAAACAGGTAGTTTTAATGAATAAATATCTTGAGTTCCTACAGAAACACCATGAGGGATGGAAATAATTCTTATTCAAATCCTTCCAACTGCCAACACTAGTCGCCTGTCTGTGTTTACAGAGGAGGGACTGGTATATCGGGCAGGATTATAAAGTGTGTGTGTGAAGCAATTTACCTGTTATCAGATGGAACCATGTAAACGTTCTTAGTGCCGATGCCCATTAAAGCTGCTGCTTTGGAAATGGAGTAATGACACTGAAAGAGATTAAACAAGAGAGTCTGTCAACAAAAGAAATATGCCTGAGTAGGTACTCATTTATTCAGACACAGCAACCAAGATTCAATTTCTATTTTATGTAAGGAATTGCTATTTAAAAACAGTAAAGGTCTGATAGATTTGTGACTTAAGATTTATTTCTGTGAAAAATGAGCAAAACCATTTTTCTCTCATTAAAGGTTCAGTGTGTAACATTAAGGAGGATCTATTGTCAGAAATGGAATATAATATTTATAGGTATGTTTATCACTGAACCTTTAAATTTGCCTGTAAGTCCTACCTCCTGTGATGTGAACATGACCAGTCGTGGAACAGCAGAGAGGCCGGCCTCCTTAATGTCAGGGAAGTGATGGTACCTGGCTAAGTTCACAGCGTACATGTTGGACATTGAGCCACCTGGAGAGAAAACAGCACACAGGTGTTAAAACACAGGACCCTGCACTTATCACATTCTGGGGTGAATTAAATGATTAGCGAACAACAAAAAGCAGAAGCTGTCATAGCAACAGAGGTATAAATATTAATAGTATCTGTCAGTGATTGTACCTGCATTGAAGATTCCATCTCCTCCTTCCTCCCAGCCGATCATCTCTATCATCTTCCTCAGCACAGCATCTTCCATCAGTGTAAAGACCGGAGCCACCTCATATGTGTACCTGCGGAAAACCAGATACAGCATTACTCAGCATGATTTCAGGTAAGACTTACTGTCTATATTAGAATGAATTGTGTGACTCACAGACTGGGTTTAAGGGCCTCCACGATAAAGCTTGCCACCAAGGAATAGGGCTCCATCCCCGCATACAGCTGGTTGAAGAAATGAGGATGGGCTACAGAGATGATAGAGAACAGAGCCAGTTAACAGTCAGATGAATGTCAGTCTGAGATGTTGCAATTCAGCATCTTTTAATCTTTTTACTAGCCTAACTAGTTTACAAAAGATGATTGCATGAGAGCGAGTTATTGATTTCTCTCTGAGGGCAAGTCGTGTCTTGGCAACAGTAAACAATAAATGTCCTTAACTTACACAGAACATGACTAATGTTGTGTTACCTAATCTTTTTATTTCTGATATTATGAATTGATACTGGAGAGTGGTTTGCCAGTTCCAGTTGCCAGTGTGGAGTCATTGGTGCATTAGGGTGAATAGGGCAGACCAGGGGATACCAGGCGAGATGGCTTAAACTTACTACAAGGAGTTTTGAACTGGCTATGAAGCAGTCTCAATTTAATGCTGATGCTTCTGTATGCTCTATAAACAAACAACGAGGGCTTTTTATAACAATCTGCTACTTTCAGTTTGAGCAAGTAACAGGAGCTACTTGCTCAAACTAAAGGAAACATTTCTTCGAGTCTGACCCCCTGAACTGCATCCAATCGTCTTTCACTGAAGTTTGAAGACTTACTGGTCTTGACGCTGTATCTGATGGCATCTCTGCAGCGCTGCAGGATCTTGGACTCAGACTCTCCTCCGTCTCTCAGCTCAAGGTCCAACAACTCCTTCAGCTGCTCGGGGGAACGCCACTCACAGACCTGGTCAGCACGGACAAATGTCTCACTGTCAAGGTCAACTGTGGCAGCAGTAGTCTTGACTACCCTCTAAAGGTGTGCTGGTACTGTAGCAGAAATCTGCCGTCACAGAATCTTTCCAAATTGCCCTTCAAGAATTTTACTTGCAGCATAACAACCGTTTTACATAAGTCGCCATACCTACACAGACTAGTAAGTAATTGCACCTTTACCTTTTCTCTGACATCAGTGGCCTTTTTCACTGCATCTTCCATAATGATGGCCATGGATTGGTGAATGAAGTTCTCCGCTGCGAGTCCATTCTGAGCGGGGCTAATCAGGGGAACGTCACCTATAACAACCGGAGAACATTTCACTAGATGTCAAGGATCTGCCCTCAGGGCTTTGACCCACACTGAGAATAATCTCTTCTGAATGAGGAAGAGCAGAATCATGTGAGTTCTGACATCAGTGAATAAATATGAAAACCTGTTCAGGTAGATAGTCTACAAAATAATCCCAGCATGCTTTGTCAGCGAAGGATAGATTGCAACATGGCTGGTAGAGTGGTTAGTTTCTTAAGACGTCTGTGACTGGAAGACTTGTGACTCAGTGACTACTTCTTCTCCAGTCAGTTCCCTTAGATCTTCATTTCCACATCCTCTTTCCTGTCAGGCACTGATTTAATGTAAAGATCCATTCTCCATTACAAAGAGCTGTTTTGCTGTTAATCTGTCAGCAATCTCTCTCTGATATCTGGGGGGGTTCCCTACTGGATAAAAGTTGCCCTGTTCCCAGATCAGCTCCCTGTTGCTGTGTTGCACCTACCCAAAGCTGTCCCTGTGTTCTAGCTGTGGTTGTACCTGTTGATGTGCTTCTGTTGCCTTTTCTTTTCTGCAGACACTAACAGGTGCTGCACCTCTGACTGTTTGATCCCTGGATTAAGCCTGTGATATCTCTCCCCTCAGTACGGCACACTAAACTACAGCAGATAATTCATAAAGATTTATATATATATAAAGTCATTGGTGGGAGGGTTACTTTAAAAAGGTAATCAAATACAGTTACTAATTACCTGTTAAAAAAATGTAGTCAGTAACCTGATGCAAGTCTCCCAGTATTAAAGTAACATAACTTGATTACTTTCCTTTACTTATGGATTACTGCAACACCAAATATACAAGTAAATGAGAAAAGAAATGTCAATAAGAAGTATTGAGCGAAGACAACAGAACAATGTAGAATCTGAAGAAGAAGAAAATGTGTCTTCTTCTCAAAAGCTGATTTTAAATTGTAATCCTGCTAAATAATCCCAATCTTTACTAAATGTAACTGTAATCTGATTACGTCATTAAATGTGTCAATAAAAAATGTAGCCTGTAACATTTTTGTGATACAACAAATAATAAAAAATAATAAATGTCATTATTGTAGGTGATTGTTATAAATTATTATAAAAGGAATTATTAGTAAAGTATTTTTTGTTTCTTTTCATTTAAAAACGGGCGAGATCATAACCTCCTTGGCGGAAGTAAAATGAATGAAAAAAAAGTAGAACCACCCTCAACTATCCTTGTGGCTCCTGACCAATCGTGGCAATGACCGTGCGAACTTCTGTCCAGTGTGGTTTTTTTTTTGGCACGTTGGCACCACCATGGGAATGTCTGTCTATCGCACTCACCGTCCCTCTACTAATGTCCAGCCTGCTCTAGCATGAGCTGTATTGGCTGATGTAAAACCTGCTGTAAGTAGGCCTAACTACAGACACCAGCTCCGTTTAGAAGCCATTGCACATACCCTCCTGTCTGCTGCCTGCAATCTGGTTAAATGAATGAAAACTTCACATGATATAGTGTGACATATGGCAGGAGCTGAAGTCTGCCCGATGGTCCGGACCAACACACACAAATACCTCTACACTACTTCTTAATACATCATCTTTAATTGCAGCTTTTGGGTTGTTTTGAGCCTTCACTAAATCTCCTCCAAAGAGGATTGCTATGACACTTGTATGGTTGGCCTGTAAGATGTTTTTCGAAGGTATCTAAAATGATGTAAAAATGCATCATCAGCACAGTAGTTTGTTTATAACTGTACAAACCGAAAAGATGAATGTTGCTGGATGTTGCTTTCAATTTTCACTTGTGCATTTATTAATCATTCATTTCAGAAGCTCCATGTCAACATTTAGGCTACAGTAATTAAATAAGTGTATCTTTCTTTCCTGAGGTAAAATAAAAAGTGAAAAAAGATAGATACAGATGCTTACCCTTGGTTGAAGGCATTTTTTTTTTTGGCTTTTGATGCTGCTGTATTGTCCGTTGCAGTTTATTGTACAGTCATAGAAAGATGTTTGTATTTATACACCCCACGTCCTCCTGATGACGCTATAGCCTTTCAACACGTTGCGCCATCGACCTTTGTTAACTACCAGTAAATTTCCATCAGGCAGGCGGACTGGTACTTAGTGACAGCAAATGCAGCTAAGTATGAGATGCGCTGTTCAGCAGGTTGGAACATACAAATGAGGCCGTTTCATCACGCCAGAAATGTTAACGCTATTTATGACTGAACTTATTTAAATGACTTTTATCAATGTCCTGTTCTCATTATGCTGTTTAAATGGCATATCTGTTTAAGTGAAGCAAACGGCAAGCAGCTGCGGCCAGGTCAGTATTAACAACCCAAAGCTGTCATATAATGCCGTTTTACAGGTCAATGTGAAAAGATAGCTACTATAAGAAGCCTATAGAGTGAAGGGCTCTGTCTGTGCGTCAGCCTTGTCTGCCGCTACTTCTGTTTCCTCTCCTGTGTTTATCACTTACGAAGAGGTGGGAAAGGGATTTGACAGTAATGTTACACAACTTGCTAATGCGCAACATATGGGACCAGACTTTTTTGGGCATTTTATCCATGTCCACGTGTAAATGATTTGGTTTTGTAAATACTCTTGTTTGTGTTAAGGAATAAATAAATCAACTAAAACTTACCTGGAAGAAAACATGAATGCTTCTAGTTCTATTTAGGCCATTGGGGAAGTGGTGCGCTTGACATTGAAATGAGTATTACAACAAAAAGAAACTTAATAAAAAATAATTGTGACAACAACAAAACAAATAGCTCACCTGGCAAAGTTTTCATAGATCAAAAAAATAATGTAATGTAAAAACCTTTCCCTTTTTAAGGAGAGAAAACAATGTAGTTCTGACTAAGAGTTGGAGTTGAGAAATACTGAGCTCATAAACCTCACCTAACTACATAAAGGTTTTAACTAATGACTCCTTACATTATGGTCTGGTGCCAGGTATGGCAAGGAACACAAAATGTCCTTAAATTTAAGCCAACTCATTTTTGCCTGAGAACAGTCAAAAAGTTTACCAGGGACTTCAATCACCCTTAAAGCCCCACAGTCTGTCATATGTGCAATCCTGGATTGTCCCCTGTATTGAGCCACTTGTGGACACAACTTGCTTTTGACACAATTTGTAAATATTCCTGTTGTGAAAAATGTGTGTGTGTGTGTGTGTGTGTGTGTGTGTGTGTGTGTGTGTGTATCTGCTGGAGTTCAATGTCTGTGGTTTGGTAATGTGGTGTATGCAATAGCATTAAACATGATTCATCTTCCCGTAACCAGTGAATAGGACACTGTGACATACTTGCATGTCATTTTTCATTTGTAAAATATTCCATTGTTTATCATCTATAACAAATAATTAACAACATCCTGCAGCCAAACAGACTGAGGTCAAATGTAGTCATTTACTACACTGTTATGAGTCAAAACATGGCTCATAATTAATGAATCTACTTGTGTGATTGTGTATCTCAAACATTTTACATGTTTAACATTGCAACAGATAAATGTTGACATGCTATCCTACAACCTATTATGCTCCGTAGCAACCACGAGCCAATGAAACACATTTGTACTGTACACATCAAGTGTGGTTGTAGCAAAAATGCTAAATCATTTCCAGCTAGTGTCTGTTAATTTTCATTAGGAGCACAGATGCCGGATTTATCCAGCACATTTTATCTAATGAAGCGATATAGCCAGAACAGCTGACTTTGCCCTATGGGGACAAAGAAACATGGGTTAATGTACATTATAGGATTGAGTTCAGATCAGCAGGTTCATTAAGCCCATATGGTTTCACATGAGTGAATCAGGCCTTCACATAATTCTCTTTGCATTATCCGCTAAATGGCATTGCCTCAATGCAGACGATGAACTGTTCTCTCAAAACCGAGCATTTGAGCAAAGCTGCCCATCCAGGAATTCTCTCTTTTCGCTTTCTACTTATTGCACAGTGTACATTTGCACTTTGTCCAGCTGTGTTCTGTGGGTGGGACAATAAATGTTCACAGAGAAGAGCAATAAAGCACCAGCATCGTGTGTGATAATCCCCCTGATGAACAGTTCAGGGGGGCTTAATGTCTTAGTGTAAGGCCTGTAAGGGTTAAGTCTCTTTTCTTCTCATTGCACATGTACAGTCTTTATGACATGATTTCCTACATTGCATCTTTCGATGCACTTTTTGACCAGGTGTTGCATCCTAAAATTATTATTCAAAGAAAATGAACACTTCAGCTGCTGTACCTTAAGCAGATTCAACAGAAAATAGGCAGTTTCACCTCAGATACTATTTTGCCTAAAAGAATGCCTCAAAAATACATTTCTACACAATGAGATACAGGAGTATTGCGGCATTCTTTGCACACTAAACTGCAAGATAACATTCTTGCTTTGACCATTCTGGAAAGAAAAAAATTATTTAGGTTGCCATCGGGTGGCTGAAAATGGTACTGTATTACAGAGTTAGGCTGCATAAGCAAGCAAAGATATGGGCCCCAGATAAGTATATTAACTCTGTACTGCATGCCATTGCTGAAGTGGGTAATTGTAGGGTAGAAACACCCTTTAAGCAAGCAGAGCAACATGTGGCACAATCAGAAAAGGTAAAATGCATTTAAATTTTTATAACCTGTTGGAAGACATACAAGGATGTGCAAGAAGCATTTTATATGTATTCCTAATATGTGAGTTTCAATTTTTAGGCTATTGCCAGGATAACACAGTGTTCAATGATGGAGATGGAGTAAAATGATGACCCTGGTAAATGTTTTTGGTAAAATAATCACTGGCAATATGGACAAAGTTACATTTCATGGTCGAAAAGGGTGAAAGCAACTTGGTCAAGTGGATCTTTTCCCCCTCATAGTGAGGACAGTGAATTTGAGGGCAGTGATAGTGAAGGAGAATGAGAATGTATGCATCATTAGAGGGACACAAACCATACATTCTTTTTAAGGTTATATTGAATTAGATATTTGTTAAACCAAGAATGATCTATATTTGTAGATAAACCAACCTCCTACCTTCCAAAAACTGATAAAAAGTGGATGGATTTTATTTTTTTTTTTTTTTTTTTTTTAAAAAAAAAAAAAAAAAATAGATAGATAGATAGATAGATAGATAGATAGATAGATAGATACTTCATTTATCCCGAGGGAAATTCAAGTAACGAGTAAGGGAGGATAACATTTAGCTGTACAAATATTCTATTTCTTGTACAAAGGCAGTGTTGAACATGCAATGCCCATCTCTGTTTCATGACCAAAAGCAACTGCTTCCAGGGGCGCCCGGTTAGCTCAGTGGGTAGAGCTAGCAACCCATGTACAGGCTGAGTCCTTGCTGCAGCGGCCCAGGGTTCAAATCCAACCTGCGGCCCTTTGCTGCGTGTCATCCCCTCTCTCTCTCTGCCCCCCCCTTCCTGTCGGTCTTCATCTGTCCTATCAAATAAAAGCCAAAAAAAAAAAAAAAAAAAAGCAACTGCTTCCTGAGGTTCCACACAGAGTGAGAACCCAGAAAAGGAAGGAAGAGAAATACTGAGTTATTACATGAGGAAACTAGAGACCATGTGCACTTTCTAATGCATGCTACTTGTTTTCACATTTGAAAAAATGTTCTACAGAAATCAAAATCCAATCAAATTTTTTTCTTCTTGGAGATGGAGTGGAGGTGGGGGTTGATCACTTTTTGACTGACACATTATCAGAAGATCCCAATCTTCCAAAATAGGGTAAACCTCCAAACACAAAAACAAACATAATGCTTACTGTAGAATCAGTGGAGTCCACATACATTCTCTGTAGGTGTTCTGACCCAAACTGCTGCATCTCTATAAGACGCGAGATCACATGAAACTGAAACCATGAAAGCTTTGTCACACCTTCACTTACATATGGTTTACCACTGGGCAGGCAGCAGAAACACAGCTCACCACAAACCGTTTCCTGTATTTCCGATAGTAGGACAGTCTCTACTTCTGCAGCCTCTGAGTGCATGATGCAGAGATGTGACAAATGAATGAAATTAATGTCTCATTAGCTGCAAAGGTCAATCTCTACTTCATTAATTACTCTAATAGCTGCTACTGATAAAACATGCAATGTAAGATCAGTACAATTGTGGTTCATGGCATGCTTGTTTAAGCATGTTATCACTATTTTGATATGAGCTCCCAGAAACTGGCCTGAATGGACTGACGTATGAATGTTATTTTAAGCTCCAATGTCATTTAGTTTTACATCAATAGATCATTAAGATATTTAAGTGCAGAGTCTGCAGCTGCAGAGCAGGGAAGAAGAAGCATTAAATCCATGGGGGATATATTTTATTATACAAACTGACATTTTACGAGTTATCAGCCTAGTTTCAGTTGTTCTGATGATAACGTGTAGAAGATAAAGCTGTTATAGGTTAAAGCTCAGGCCTGCATATTAATTAAAACGTTTCTAAAATAAAAATATTCTTTGGCCAGATGTGAAAAATGAAACCAATCTATCTGTGGTGTTATTTTCACACGTACCACTACCAAACAGTATTCAAAATGAGTGTGGAAAACATATTTGGTTTCAATCTCAGTCTATGCTTCCTTTAATTACAGTCTATGATCTATAACTTTTATCTTGTTCTATGCAGCAACTCTCTTTCAGTGGAATAGATGTGAAAGGTATGAATACAGGACATTTGCAGTTTAACCACGACACCATGGCTCTTACATGTTTACCTTACTTTAATTAGTTTTGCAAAAGTATATGAATAACTTTTGCTATGCTACCTTGCACATCATCTGAGTTTGGGATATGAGACGTTACAGAAAGGTGCAGGTCGACCATAAAATTCCTACACCATCTCTCCTGCAGTGTGTAGCAGTTTCTTTGCATGTGCATGCCTGTGTGTGTTTTGCAGACACTGCAAAGAAGGGGAAGATAATTTATGTGAGAAAAGTAACTGTACACGATAAATTCTGCTCCAAGGAAAATGGAGATTTTGCTATTGTTATTATTTGACACAGAATGCCCTCAATCTCTTTCTATTCCTCGCTCGTTGGCAAGCATCACCTGTTTTTACAATTTTATACAACACATTTCATTACAACTTAATTCAGTGACCTTGTGCAACTATCCACCAGTCCAAAGAAAGTACCCACATACACCCAAAAGGCATAAACCACAGAAACAGAATTGCACCAAGTGATTCTGTAAAAGGCTGCCCAATGTACGTACGTTACTGCCGTGACTTTTGAAGGTAAGATAAGAAAATAATTCAGAGGTTCTTGCCCTGTATTTCAGAGACTCAAAGTGACCTACTACAAAACTGTCCTTAATGTGTGGCCAAGCAGGAATTTGTATAATTTAAAAAGCTGTGGTCCAAGAATTGACCCTTGTGAAACTCCTGATACAGTTTTTGTTTCAACATTTAAATCAACAGCTGGAACATAGGAGTTTCTTTGAAAACTGTCATTTAGTTTTTGATTCAAATATTGCAAAACCCTCATTGGTGCATTGACATGCGTGACATCACCTTGTTCCCACCCACTTTAAACCGGTGAGAAGAGCACAGACAAAACCACAGGAACGGAAAATCTCTCATCTGAAATAACTAAAACCTTTTATGACGTTGGCAGAAAAGGTTGGGTTCATGTGGAACCATATATCACTAAAAAGCTGATTGAGAAAATAGGTTTACCAGACTTTTGTAGAAGGAAACGAGTGAACAATATTTGCTCTTTCCTCTCACTGTTCTCAAGAAGGAATAAATCATGAAAAGTTATCAGAATCATGAATAATTTACTGAGGTTCAGAAACTGAAAAAGAGAGAGATTTTCAGATCTTCTACGTTCATATTCGGTAAAACCTCGGAACAATTGCTAGACGCGCACATTGCACTCTCAGTGCTCTCAGTATTGAGTCTTTATTCACTCTTAGTTTATTTCACTCAAGAGGGCCGACTCTGTTCAGCATGGAGGTGAACCTCATTACAAGTGTCCAAACATTTCCTTTTGTTCAGAAAGCCTATTCCTTTGCTTCAGCAGATACTTGATAAATTATCAAACTCTGGAGCTCCTCCCCAAGCAGCTCAGCTCTTTCATCTCAGGACTATCCTTCTACTTGTTTCTTTATGCGAGAATGGGTTTTAACAGAACCTCTCTATCTGTCTGCTTGTATCCAAAACACAGAGATCTAATGGTCTCAGATTCCCCAAACTGCTGGAGGAATCCAACTTTGTTTGATGGGCCAGTGACGATGTTTCCTGGTAGGGTAATAAAGTGTTGTACTCCTGTTGGCTCATTGCTTCACCAAGACACATTGCTTATTTCAGTACATGCACACTATGATACAATGTGATAAAACAGAATAGAATAAAATAGAATAGAAAATGTGATGGATTTAATTAATGGGTATATTGAGCAGCAAGGAAATGTAGGATACCACTTTTTGATCAAATGTTTTTTAAATCATAACAATATTTGGGTTGCCAGGTTGTGAAAAGTTTATCATCAAGAGTCAAGAGTTCCTCTCTAAGCCATTATAAATGTTAGTATGCCATTCATAAATCTTTATTACAATATTCATTGTAAATGCTTGAATGTTTGAATTTTGGTCCAGATGCTCTGAAGCTTTTCCATTAGAGCTGAGGTCAAACCAGAGGAGTCCTTCTGAAGAGCTAAAAAAAGACAATTCAAGCATCCTGCGGGTAGGAAAAACACCAGTCAGGGGTCAAATGAAAGGATGGGAAATTGTGTTTTTGGAGCTTACTTACCCATACTAGGGACTATATGGTAGAATATCTCAGCCTCTGTTGCTACAATTTTGACTTCTGCCTTTTGTTTCTCTTGTTAGTCCCCTAACTTTAAGGAAATGCACTACAAACCTACTAAAGTACCCCTTTACAGGCTTATAATTGTTCAATTTAGTAAATGGTTAATAACGATTAATAAAGTCACTATTACAACTCACAAACCCCTTTTAAATGGTTGCTTATCAGAAAGTTGTACCAAACATGGCGGTTCACAGCAGCTTGATCTTGTTGCAAGTTTCAACAAATGTCTCAATGTTGATCTTTGTCTCCATTTAGAATCACAGCTCATTACTTCCGGCGTGAATACGAAACTACTGGCTTCAATCAGGGCCTAATGTTGGCATAAAGCCCCGCTCCTGTTATATTGGCTCTTGCTTTGTCAATATATTCAATAGTTCCTGTGAATTTCATTTATTTCATTGGCTCGCGCGGCTCCAGCGCCCCTGCGCTGTTCGCAGACCATACGCTCTTCCCGCTGTCTGTCACCCTCACCTCTCGCGCTAATGCATCTTCAGTGATCAGGCTGCTCTATTGTCATTGGTCGCTTTGCTTGTCTGTCAAGCGCGCTCTACCGTTGGATTGGGTTCCTCCCGGAGCTGTGGAGGAGCTGTGTCCCTCTTGGCTGTACCTGTCTCGCTGTGAGAGGCTGACAGCTCTTCCTGCTCCACGAGCAGCTCCCGCCTCTTCATCCAAGGAAGGAAGGAGGAACTGCTCGAGCCGCATGTGTCACTTCCAGTATGCTGCGAAACCGTGCTGCTATGTGACTCCCTGGGATTATTTAGCTGTCTTTGCGGTTGGTGGGAAGTAAGGTTAGAAAGTTTGGAATTACAGTCTGTGTTTTGGGGGGTGAGGGGCGCCTAGGGAAGGTAGTGCAAGTGGTTTCGGAAGTGGAGCGTGGCAGAGAAAAGGAAGAAGGGGGGGGTTTTCTTTCCTGTGTGATAAAAGATAGCTCGCTTCGCTTGCTTGCCACGACGGGACTGACGTAGAATATGGCGGAGCATCACCCGGTTTCCGACAGCAAACACAAATCCTCACTGAACTCCGGAGCGTCGTACTCGGGGAACGGGCGCAGCAGCACGGCGGTCGCGGAGAGAGGCAGCAACGCCGGGGCAGGAGGAGGTGGTCTGTCCGGCGGCCTGTCGCAGCCGGCCGGGTGGCAGTCCTTGCTGTCTTTCACCATCCTGTTCCTGGCCTGGTTGGCCGGCTTCAGCTCCAGGCTCTTCGCTGTCATTCGCTTCGAGAGCATCATTCACGAGTTCGACCCCTGGTGAGTTTGTGTCCCCACAAACCGAGCTGGTTTAACCTGTTCGTCAGGATAGGTTACTACTAATGGAGCGCAAACCCGGCTAAGCTGTGAGCAAGTTTCTTTGAAAACATGTCAGGTGTTTGGATCATATCTTGTCACGTGTCTAAATTCACACCACAGATGTCCTTGCTTTTTGGTTTGGCCACCAACAATTTTAAAACCTGCATGTGTCGGCCACCATTACGGGGAGAATTTGGACCAATGGTTACAAAGCTCGTATCTGCTTATTGTGATTCGCATTCATCTTGCACATTATGTCCAAATGCACGTCTTTTTATACATTTGCTGGCCGTGGTGATTAAAAATACACCACTTAATTAAGGCTCACCTTTTCAGTACCAAGTGACGCCTGTGTATCTATTGTAGTTCATTATAAAGTGCAACATTGTAACAGCCAGTGGGGGTGGGGGGGTGGGGGAGGAGGAGGGGTATCACGGCAGAGTAAATGAGGACAATGGTGACAGCTTCATCTGACGCGGGTTGAACCCGGAAAGAAGCAGCCGTGAGGTATCTGGCTGAAGTCCTTCTGACACAGATTTAGCCTTTGTTAACCTGCAGATCACCTCTGCTCTGATTTTCTGGCTTTTCAGCAGCTCTTGCACTGATTGCAGCCTCTAATATAGACTGTGTGCCAACCATGTGCCACACATATTTCAACAGGAGCATACCATGTGTCTCAGTGACTTCACAGCGGTCATATTGTAATTTATCCTGCATATTATTCTAACAGGCAAAGTATCCTCCTGAAGTTTATAAAACCATTGTTAGTCCTCAGATTGAAGTGTAGTTCTTATTCTGCATGGAAGTGTTCAGATTCGTATCAGTTTCATTTAACCCCTGACTTCCATCACACTTATTGGGAATACTTGGACAGTGTCATGGTCCATGCTGATCTATTTCAAGTGTGAGAAGGGTTTCCTCACGCTGTCTCAGACATGAGCGTGACAGTGAGGTGAGGTTAGCAGACTTTGCTGCAAGACGAGGTGTAGGTGGAGGCCTAGCCAAACTGTCAGACTCTGTGCTCCTTCCTGTTTGTATTTCCTTCCAATAGTATGATTTTCAAAGATTACCTCAGAGATAATGAAGCACCTCAGATTAAACAAGCCAGCGCGATTCCTAACCAAAGCTGTTGCTCTTTTTAAAAAACTTTTTTTTTTGTTGCAATGGCCATCGGATTGTTTGTGTTTCATTTCAAAACCTCTACCAGCTCAGCTTCTGCCAGAAATTGTCCAAGCTTTTTATTTGTACTCCAAGGGACTGTTGCCTGGCCCAAGCCTGCATTGCATCACTGAAAGCATTTAATGATTATTCTGAGACCAGCAGTGTGGATTAAACTGCCAGCTTCATGTCTGTCTGCTGAATAAAAGAGGAGGCTTGAGAGCTTTGGCTGGGCGAGAATCCTTCAGTTTCTGTGTGTCGCTGTCTGAAGGTCTAATACAGCATGACATGGAGTGGAATTTATTCATACAGTGCTTCATTGTTCCATCATTCTCCCTTTGCTATCAGGCTGGCAGCATTATGTAAACTAGATGTTTGGATGGCCAAGGAGACGTGTGAGATCCTGTGTTTGTGTGTGCATCTGTGAAGTAGCTTGTCTGTGCCGAACTGTTGTAAATGTGTATTCAATTTTCAATTCAGTTAAATTTTATTTGTATAGCGCCAATTCATAACAGAAGTTATCTCAGCACACTTTTCAAATAGAGCAGGTGTAGACCGAACTCCTTATAACATTTACAGAGACCCAGCGGTACCACCATGAGCAAGCACTTGGCGACGGGGCAAGGAAAAACTGCCTTTTTAAAATGTGTACGTAAACAGGAGTTTGAACTTGCTGTTTTTCTGCCAGACATTTTAAATGTGTCTGATTATTCAGAGGTCATGCTGAAGAAACTTGAAGGTTGTCAGACATTCAGGAGGATAAAAGCAGCAGCGTTTACAGCCTTTTCTCATCATCATTTGATTACAGGTCCCTTGTGTACAACCCCATGACCTCACTGCAAGGTTGCTGTCATTTTGTAGCTTATCTTGAAAAGAGGATCGCAGGAGAGCAGTCACATCACCCCTCCGCTACCCTGTTTGTTCTCTTTCCTCTCTCTCTCTCTCTCACTCACACACTCTCTCTGATCTGTCCTTTTGATGTGGCTAGTTAATAGTCCTTTTCCTTCAGAAGTGCTAGATGGTGCTATTAGATCTGACAGCAAAGCGGGTCGGGACTGGCATTAGGCAGATGGCCCGTAGATGGTTAGTTATGCTTTGAGTTTTGGGCTGTGTTAATCATGCATGGACCAGCATCAGAAAGAAAGAAAAAACAGCTTCATTAGTACTTATGTCTCTGTCTGATATACTAAAGGTTGCTTGCTAGTGAGCCAGACCTCCCTCAGAGCAAGGTCTGGCAAGAAGACAGCATCTGATCCACCTGTCATCTTGTGCTCAAAGCTCCAGTTCTATGAATAATGGCTCATAGGAAATCTGAGTGCAATTAGTGTCACTTGGTGTCTGTCCAGCTCCCTTATGAAGAATGACATGGTTGATATCAGTGCAGACATGACACCATTACACCACTCAAATAGAGGTGATCCAATCAAAACGAAACCACTCTTCTGTTTTTGTTGGCCTTGTCGTCATTTCCGCTTCACAAGTAGCTGAAGAAACCCCTTTTTTGTTACCTACCTCAATGAATCTGAATATTGAAATTGTCATGTATGCTACCTAAAGGTCATTGTTTGAGCTGGTAGTACCTGATCCAGAATGAATGAATGTTTTGTGGTTAATGTGCTTTCTGTAAGCTGTTGTGTGTGTGTGTGTGTGTGTGTGTGTGTGTGTGTGTGTGTGTGTGCTCTGCCAAACATTTGTGATAAAGAAAAGCACCACTCTGACACATCCCTCTACCAGAGCTGTGCAACATGACGATATATATCGTGTGACGATAGGAAAACATTTATCATTTCATATTATTCTCTATTGTTTATTTCCTTCTGTCACAAATTTTTACAACTTTTTACAGCAGGGGTCTCAAACTGAAGCTTTCTTGGGGCCACTGCTAATATTGTAATGTCAAAGGACTTCAACGTTTAAGTACTACAAAGTGAAATATTCTGAAAATATTTCCATTACTAACAAAAGCAAAGGGCAGTTACTATACATTTTTCTATCATCATATCATCTTTGTTGTATGCAGCCAAACAACAAATGAAGCCCGAAACCTGCTCTCTTCTTTCACTACTTTCCACGTGTTTGCAGGCACCTCTGACCTTTGCCATTATTTTGTCCAATGCAATACATTTAGAATTGTTTTTATTTTAATTGTACACGAAGGGGTGGTTTGGTTTAAAATGATATGAAACAACTAAAAAAAAGAATAAAATAAAATCAAAGTTAAAATCTAGCATGCCGAATTATGTTTTATGTTTGACATATCGGGGGCTGGAGGGCTGGAAGTGGCCCCCGGGTCGGCAGTTTGAGACCCCTGCTTTACAGCTATATTTTTCGTCATTTAGACAATGCTTTGTGTTCTTCCACATGCCACATATGTACATTCTTTATCTCCTTTCAATACAAACATGGAGATGAGTGAACGTGTCACAGAACGGGGGAATTCCAAATGGGAGAAAGACCAGAAAACAACAAGCTTGTACCAAAGAAACTCCCAAACTGTACGGTACACTAATGCAACTATTATTGAAAAATGTAAAGCAAAGTTTTGGATTTCTGGCCCCATATAGCGCTCATGTACTTTTAATTTTAAAAACTACTACTCAGGTACTACCGTACCTGATACCACTTTATGGCAGCATGACATAACCTCTCATTAGTTAAGCAGATTAATGGAGGAAATTTGGAGCCATTTGGAGCTATTTTAGGCATCACATTTGTTACAGTCATCAAGTGAGGAACATCTGATGAAAATAAAACGTCATTATTAGAACTGTAATGGTATTTATTAAGTACTCATATTGGTATTCTGTATTGGCAAGTACTTGTGCTCTGAAAAACGTTATCTGGATGTGAAATGCTAAATTGGGATATGAGGTTTTTGTCATGAACAGCCCATCTCTCTACAATCGCAACTGTAGTTCAGCAAAATCAATAGAAAGGCAAGAAATTATCTCACTGTTCACATCACAGTTGTAGGAATATCTCAGTTAAAATTTCATTCATATCAGATCAATATTTAAGCTCATCAGCTTTAATTAATCATTCTCAATCCAGGCCTTGAGCATTTTAAGCAAGTAGCTTGTGAGAAATATGCCGAGCAAAAGTAAATGGGCTACAGCTGTTATTTATGTGTCAGATACATATTTAATCAGCAGTTCATATCTTCGGCTGCTTATCTTATTTCTAGGTTGAAGCTGCAGGTTGTGAACATTAAGTAAGCTGTCACTCAAAACAGAGTTTCTGCCTTCTCAGCCAACAAAAAGTACAGATGTCAACTAAATCTTTATAAGCAGTAGTGGTCATTAGCCATGCTAGCAGCAAGGCTCTAGGGTTGGATATGTCTGTCTGTCTGTCGGTCCTACTGAAATGTCTCTAACTGTTGGCGGGATTGTAATGGATTTTGGTGCACACATTCATGTTTCCCTCGGGATAAGTTGTAATCACTTTGGTGATCACCTGAGTGTTCATCTAGTGCCACCATCATCTAAATTTAAATTTGTTCAGAGTAAAAAAAGCAAAGTGAGAGAGTGAGATTACAGTGGATCCTGTCAATGAGGATACTGCTCCCTTTGTTTTCACATGCACAAATGGAAGATAACAGGAAATGACCTGGTGTTTATTGAGGATGGAGTTGATGATGTGTGCGCTGTTATTGCGCCCGGGCTGCAGAATGGGTTATCAGTTGTGCCACATTACAAGCCACTCAGAGAATGAGAGCAAGAGGTTTTGTGTTCTGTAATGAACAGGTATTAGACCCAGGCTGTGTTGCTTTTGTACATCAGTCTGAAAGATCCAGTTCTTCCTCT